CCCCCCCCCCCCCCTACTACATTTTCACCCAGCTCCCTACATAGTAGATTTTCAAACCTTCGTAGCCGAATTCACCATAACTACCAGACCAATTTTTCTCTCAAAGTCGCGTTCACTCGAAACCAAAATATTATTAATGGCCACACCCTTCCACAATTCATGACAAAACATATTGCAGGTAAATTAATCTTATCAAATAAGCAGGTTGGATAAATCTTATTCAATAGCTTGATTTCTTTTTTATCCAGTTCAATTACTCCGCCTCATTTAGTTCCAAAGCTCAGAATTGGAATAAATGAATGGAAATTATACGGAGTACGATAGTGCCCGAGAAAATTAGTTTTTTTAAAGAGTGTACTGTGATTGGCAATCCATGATTTTACTCTCCTACTCATTCCAATCTAGTGATCGTTTCCTCTTTGTCGGCAGGAACTGTTTTTCTGCCTAAAGGTGAGGTATGTGGTTGAAGGAAAAAGATTTTCATATCCAAACTTCCTCTGCAGCTGGCAGTGGTCTTACGGTACTCACCGTAATGTTCCATTGGGATTTCAGGTTTCCCCTTTAACAACGAGATACAATATACCATACCCGTGATTGAAAGGTTTACCGAATACAGATACTTCTTGATTTTTTGGATGAATTCCCAGTCAGGACTTTCATCATTATGCCGTAAACTATAAGCAGTACTCGCTTCCTGAGCTTGCAGGCATTTTGCCTGTGAACGCTTCCCTCGTCGGACACTCTCAAGTGGACCTGTATTCCCCTGCTTCAGAAGTTTTATTGACAGTGCCCAAAAAGCACGATAGCAGGTTCGACTTTCTTGCAAAATTACAGCGGTCCCTTTGTAGCTCCCCATCCTTTCGTGCGACTATTGCGTCGTGTTTTTGGAAACGGACATTGGCTCGTCCAAGCTTGCCAGCTGCACACCAAGCGGCGACCTTATCGACTCCTTCATTTTTAACTTAGGTACGAGCTTGCGGTAGAAGAAACTGAATATGATCAGTGATGAATGCCGGAGCTGACGCGTCGTCGCGAAATTTACCAACGAGCTGACCGCGTTCGATGCCGGACGGGTCGAAATTTTGTACCTTGGCAAACATCAATGAACAGTTCATGTTAGAAATGCTGTACTGGTTAGAGTGGGGTGTGTCACCATTGTAAATAATGCTATGACACTTATTCGAACGAAAAGGAGTGGAGCTTAGCGAACAAGAAGGGATTGGAGCAAAGTGATACCAGTGGTGGAACCAGAAGACTGTTCAACTGCTCAGGGTAAAATGTCTGGCCTCAGACGGGCATAAGCCACTCGAGTAGTATAAACGGACTTGGAATAGACTTACACAGAGCATTTTGCTGAATTCAAAGTACAAGGGCGATCCGATCGATTCATATCCACCAAGCTTGTGGATTGGGGTCGCGATCTTCCATCCTGCAAAAGGTCTCTATTATTCGACTCTATCTGTCAGGACAGACTTGTTCGGTGAAAAAAACAAAACATAAAAGATACCCGATTGGACAAGTAAAAGTAGGAGTGCTTAGAGCATGGGAAACCATCGCTTCCCTCGTGGAAACTTGCGGTGTACGCTGAAAAGAGAACATCAGGAACGGCTGGTCATGACACTTACGAGTTTTTATTTATGACATTGCTTACTATAAAGTTGAATCTGACTCACATTCAACCGGTTTTACGAAAGAATGGAATAAATGAAGTAATGGGTATTGCTTCGCCAAAAGAAGAAGCTGATAGATAGACGACATAAACCAGTGGTAGAGCATGTAGAAGGGCTGAAATAACAAGCTCCTATTGCTCAAATACTGAACGTAAAAACAGCATACAGTAAAACACTGCTCGGCAGTGCTGATGGTCATTTTCATAGTTCTGAAATTCTGAGAAACTTCTTTTGTTGCAATGAGCGGTCAGTTCTCGTTCGCAATTCAGTAAGTCACAAATGGAAAGAAGGAAAGGCTTCAGGTCATTTCTTCCATGAAGTAAAATCACTTAGTTGACACAATAGAAAATGGTGAATGCCCTGTGCCGATAATATTGTGAGACGTGGTGCACTTCGGGGTTTTCCGCTATCAATCAGATCAAGCTTCCTAGACACTCAGTCGGATATTTTACCCATTACTAAATCTCAAAATCTCCAACTCCAAAAGCGAACAAAAATATGGCTCAGTGTGTCGCAAAAGTGTAGGCTTGGATGGAGGAAGACTGTAGGAAGACTGTAAGAAGAAGGAACTGTAAGAAGCGTCAGGACGCTCACCCTCACTTTCGGTCGTTTAAAAATTTTTCGAATCACGAACGCTGTGGAAAGTACACGTTCCTAGTAAGTTTGAATAATCATTTTGTGACAGGGTAGCAGATTTTTGAAGTAGAGTTATTGGAATCCTTTGCAGAAGTAGCAATCAGTTGTATATGAAGGAGGGGATGAATTTTGAGGGAGATCCTGATGGCTGATGAGCAAAAGCTGTGCTGTTTACTTGGGACTACGCTTCGGAGAACCGACGAACATCAACGTCAAGTGAAACTTTTTAACAGAATCATTAAGATTCATAATGCTGAAGCTTAAGGGAGATAATAAATTGAGGATACCGTACCCGTAAGGAAGCAGCAGACATCACGACAACTTTCTTCTCCTTGCACAATGCCTGGTGATCGGTATATTTTAACCTAAACAAATTTATAAATAAAACATACAAGTTCAACTGAAGAAGATCTGCTTTCTACAGTAGTGAAATGAGCTTGGTAAGGACCACTACCCGACATTAATTGAGAATCTGTCTTCGCTTTCCCAAGAGCATTGAAAAAAGATGCGAGTGGGGATTTAGAAAGAAGCAACTGCATACCAAGAACGATGGTGGAACTAGGGATTGATGCGAAGCAAGCTGTACAATACGCCATTACTACTGGGGTAGCAATAGAGATCCAAAACTGCAGTTTGGAATTGGAACTTACTTGATATAAAAACGTTTCTCGACTAGTAATGACATCACACGTTGCGAGACCCTGTTAATGGAGCCGAACCACTGACTGATATGTTTGCCTTTGTTGATTGGATCCTGGAAATTGGTCGATATTTTGCAGATTTCTGATATTGGCCCGTTCGGAAAGTACCTGCCAATCTCGCAACGGTTCAAACTTTTTGAAATGTTCTGGAAGTTTTCATGGATATCTGGAGTCACCACCCAACTGCATGCTTTACCCAGTGGCTGATTTGTCTCCCATATTTGATCTCCCGTTCCCTTATTTGATGTGTCTACTTCTGAGGAGTGCGAATCCGGTCACTCAGTTGCTAAAGCCAATCCAAACTTTTGTCAATTATTCATCTTGAGGCTTGTTCTATGCGGTTATGCTAATGCCTTCTAACAAGGGTTCTAGGTCGGAAACGAGAAGGTCAAAGATGAGCCGATGAGTGTCCAACCCACTGCGATATGAAATTTCGAAATATGTTATGCACATGCAAGCAGAATTGTTCTTTTATACATTCTCGAGGAAATTTCCAGATGATTCCAGAAAAATCATAGCAATCGTGAAATTTTCGGTAGGTACCCAAACACTCTAATTCAGAGATGATTCAAGATGGTACCTCCAAATAGTCTTCATATGATATGTCTCTTTGATTACTGTAAAACACATAACCGTGTTCATCAAGCAGTACACACCAGCGCCGATCGTCCTAAAACAATCCGTTATAGTTTGTTTCGAAAGGAAATTCCGACATTTTTTGATGTACTGGCTGTAACTGTGATGTAAGTTGGCTTTGCCATATCAGCTCAGAGTTCTAAGGGAAGAAAATTTAAAGAAGAAAGCATATAATTATTACATTAGTATTAGTAAGAGCGATGACTGTAAACGATAGCGTGTATTCTAAATAAGGCACTTAAAAGCACAGTTCACGATAATTTTGGGTAATCAGATTATGATGAAAAATGGAAGACAAGATCGAAACTAGCGCGACTGAGGTGAAGAAACTGCGTGCATTGGTGTTTCTAATGTGAAAAAAGGCTTCAAAAAAACGTTAAAATGGGGCTGGACGAGAATGAAACCAGAAAAATGAAGAAGACTGGGGTGTCCGGACGAGCTGAACAGCGTGTTTCACTGCGCGCGTGTGGGTCCTGGTGCGAATAACAGACAATGGTAAACAAAAATTCATTCACTTATAAGTATAAATAAACAAAAAACCCTAGTAACAGCAATAGTAGCTCACCTTTCTAGGAGTATGAAATTAAATAAGGGATCGCGGCAGCAAAAAGAAAAATAGAGGAAAAAAGAATGGGAGAAAAACATCGCCTCATCACTCGGCGATTAGCTGATTGTGCGTGGGTCCTAGAACGAATGATAGCAATCTGTATTGTCTCGACGCTCGTCTAACGTGACACCGATCGAGGGGCGGGAAAGCGAACTACGGCAGCAACGGAGCTTCCACTATGCCCTAAGCGCCGAGAATGTGGGAGCGAGAGGGTCCCTTCTACCACCCATGGGGGGNCCTAGAACGAATAATAGCAATCTGTATTGTCTCGTCACTCGACTAACGCGATACCGATCGAGGGGCGAGAAAGCGAACTACGGCAGCAACGGGGCTTCCACTATGCCCTAAGCGCCGAGAATGTGGGAGCGAGAGGGTCCCTTCTACCACCCATGGGGGGCGCTGATTATTCCTGAAGGAAGAACTCAGTAACCTTTTTTATCGTGGACCAAGCCTTTAACTGTGGAAGTATCGAAACGGGAGGCTTCAGAAGCTTCAACGGAAAAAAAACACGGTGAGCGAAAACCTTAGCAACAGTGAGAAGTGTACCTATTACTAAGCAGTATGACTACGGGCTACTGAACTGGTGCCAAAATGTGGGTGGAAAAACTTGAACTTCAAGAACACGCTAGCAATTTTGAATAGAAAACAATTCTAATGAAGAAACCGGAACTCCATTTGAATGCCACGTACACAGCTCAATGCATTGTGAAAAGTGAATTCTAGAAAGAAGCTAAGAGCCTGCGCTCACCGATGGTCCACATCCATGCTCACCCATGAGGTTGACGACGTAATCGTACGCGAACTCGAAACCCGCCACACCTGTGAACAAGGAATTGAAAGCGGAAAAGGTGATTCATAGAAACAACTTGGATACTGTGAAATATGAAGAGCAAAAAAAAAAGAGGATGACAGAAAGTCAGTGACGAACCTAACAGAGCGTTCCCGAGGTAGATAGCCTTTGTACCCTGAGCTAGCATTGTGAGATTCTCATTGAGTCCATACCCAGTAAGCTGCGTTTCCGACTTGTACCATATTTTAGCTAAACGAATTTGATTTAGTCGTCTAAAAGCCACCATCTGAAAGCCTTCGAGCAATATTGGGTGCACAATACAACTTCCATGCACCTTACTTATTTTCTACCCTTTCCTGATTTTTTTTCCAATATCTTCGTAGAGGACTGAAGACCCGAAATCATCGGGACCTTCAGAGTTCTGGCTTCTTCCCAACCAGACAGGCGCAAATTGTGCTAGGTGCATTTGCGTTAAGAACACTGAGTTCTAACGGATAACAGAATGTGCCGCATCCTGAGCTTCTTGACCAAAATCACGCACTCACACGCACAGGGAATAGGACTACCATTTCAAAACCGGGGTACGTGGGAAGTTGCAGAACAGGCCATTGAAAAAAAGAATTGTTATATTTGTTTGTTTGTTTTTTATTTGTTATTTGTTTTTGTTTTGATTTTTTCGTATTTGTTTTTTTGGTCTTCTAAATTTCTTGAAATCCTTTTGCTTTCTCTCTCTTTTATTTCCTCGAAGCTGCGTTGACTTCTTACTACTTCTCTTGGGGGTCGGACACTTTGTCGTATAAATAAATATAAATCTATATAGCCGTGACCATGCAAGTGTGATAGTGCGCCACGTGCCATAACACCACCTCCGCCTATATTTATGTATATAAGTATGAAAAAGAGATTCTGAAAGGAATTTGACGAAAAATATCTATCTACACAGGAAACACTCAAAAGATTTTAAAATCACATACATTTGTTTGAGACGTCAAAAACGATGTGGTCTTTCATCCGAACACTTCGCCGATAGTAAGTGTCATCAACTGATTTCCGATTCAAATCCGTTATGAAGTGATTGTAACTTCTGAAAACAGAAAGATCGAGGAAAAAAAGCTTTGGTTTCTAAATGTTAGATTTCCTGACTTTGAATGGTTAGTAGAAAAAATAAGCTCAAAGTCATTTAGTACTCGTACCAGTACCAATTAAGCCTCGGGACTAACGGCAGTCATTTCGCCAACGAATAACGCAAGGTTAGGGCAGTTAGCATTGTGTCAAACAGCTGCACTAATTCATCGGTAATGTACAGGAAGCGTACATGTGACTGGTTGGAAGAAAAAGTAGAATTGCAAAAGACGAATGAAGAACTGATCTTGTATATTCACCAAGAAGGGGGGACGGTAATTTACTTACCACGGAACTTTGAGTGGAGGCTCAGACAGATCGATAGAGTTTTGAATGTTGTTAACGAATATGGAAATTGAAATTGCAAAGCGGCTCTCTCCAAAAAGTTATGGGGTTCCAAAATTCACTCGAAAGTAGTGTAAATCGGGAATGCGAACGAATGAAGAACTGATTCTGTATACTTAATGTCAAACGGGGTTTGGAGTACGATTCAATTTCGTCCAGGGAGCCTTTCTCTCCAAAAGACTTTTAGACCTCGAACGAGGACAGAAAATAACTCGAGCTCGCATTAGCAGGACATTCGGTCACTGAAGGGAAACCTTAATCCATCAGCTACATTTCCTACAGAAATATAATACTAGTTTTCCAATTTCTTCCAACCATCGATACGTTCCCTGCACAATATGAGAAGCAGTTAGAAATGGCCGACTTCGTCTCTACCAACACCACATCTTTTTCTATGGCTACCAGTAAGGAAAAACGAATATAAAGAGCTGTCGGTGGAGACAGTCTGCTTCAAAAGCGAGAATGTTTGTAATAGTTAGAAGGGGAATGCTGCTTCCAATCAAAATGAACTTGATTGCCACTCTGAGTAAAGTAGCGATGACCATCTTTCTTAATACTGCAACATTGTCTTCAAAAGACTGCATGAGATCGCGTTCATACAGCACACTCGGCCTGATTCATTTGTTGAAGAGATGATTTCATCCCAATTAAAAATATCGAAACGAGGACAGGAAGTATGGCAGAAATCTTTTTTTTTTGCGTTCAAGCACACAATTTGGCATACGCTTCAAACCTGCGTTAGGAAACTTTTGGAGGTCCAGTTCACGATAAAAATGGTTTCTGAGAGTTTTCCCTAAAAACAAAATGTCTCCCGCTAGGAGAGCGCAAGGGAGGCTATGTGGACAAAGCATACTCAGAGCGGACGAGTTCCCAAATGTTGCGAGAGATGAAGAGGTTGTACCATTCACAAGGGACCCTTACGTTGCACGTAGACAGCTTACTGTAGCAGTCTACCTGTGCGCAGTGGCACAGGCATTTGAACTAGATACCCCACAGTTATCGTGAACTGTGCATTTAACTAGACAAGACACTTTGAGAGCCCTCCCCATACAGGGCCCCAAGTACGACTTGTGTCACGAAAGCTCAACACTGCCGAAAGACAGAAAACAATTGAGTTCTGCGAGCGTGCGATGAACTCGATCTCGCTTTCAAGAAGCGGGGTTAGATCGCCGGCGGCTTACTCTCGGAAATGCTTGTCCACAGTGGACGACTTGATTTGTTTCCTGTATTTCCGCCTTGAACGGAATAACCTTAACAGACATACCTAAATCTCAAATCAAAGCGCTGTTGGAAAAGAGATGAGTTCAACTTTTGAGTATCACCGAAGCTAACAAATACACGTTTGATCAGAAAAACAAAAGGAAAGTGAAAAGCCAAGAGTATAAGTATAGTGGGAAAATAGGTAACAATGAAGCAAAGAAAGGTTTCAGCAGGCATAGGGGGCACGTCTTTTTCAATTCAAGGGAAATTCAAGCTCGTTCTCATCGAAAATAAAAACCGAATTCACATTTTAGACATATGCACTATTCAAGTCACATTGCTTAAAAATAACCAGTTATTACTCGAATCAGAACTGACTTTATAAAATATCCATGCAGTGAACCTCGCGTATCAATTATATGAGTTGTAGCGAGCCCTTCCGTCTACATCCCTTCTGCAGTGAGCAGCGGGCTTATAGCTATGTAAGGTTTGCATATTTAAAGACACAATTTACGATAAAAATGGTTTCTGAAATTTCCCTATTGCATGAAGTCAAGGCCCCTTACACCATTCTGTCATTATAAAGGCGACCAGAGATTGAATCGTGTGAATGCCACACCCTTAGTGGACGAGTTTCAACGGCTTTGTGGAGGCTGCACCATTCACAAGGGAATCAATGTAGGAAGTTAAAACAACTTTTTATGATCCATAGTGACAGTGAAAGGCAATCCTGGACAGTTATGGCTTGATGAAGTCAGCTCTTTGCACGATGGGAGCAAGTTGGATCTCGTCCAAAAACCCCTCACATGCCATTACTGTCGCGGTGATCTCGTACAGCCTCACTTCCACTACTTTCAAAAAGCCTAGGACAAAGCGGATTTTCTCGCTTTCTTCGCCACCAATTTACCCCTCTACATCAGCACTTTCGCTTTTTAACCTAAAAAGGGTTCCCAAAATTATTTCGAACTGTGCCTTTAACGCCAGCTCTCACATAAAGGATGGGTGAGGCACTCGAAGTAAGTTGCTCTAAGCAAAGTGGACCAGGTCTATCTACACGACGATCAGCGATTTCCAGGATTACATCATTTGCTTTCCATTTCCTCTAGCTCTTTCAATACAGCGCAGTCAGAAAAAGTTCGAAAGTGCAGCAATTCTAATGTCGGCCGGCCAGTCCGTCGTAATACCCAATGTCCCAATTCACATAGTCCATGTAACTAATGGTCCGTGTCCATTCATCATTACCTATAGGAACTGCTTATGGCTGCTTTCAGCGTTGCCGAATTTTATTGGAGGAGAACAGAACAATAGCTGGGATATTCAGGCATGTGGAAGAGCGAGTTTTTAGAAAAAGTTTTCTCTCTTAGTTTTCTTGAAAGTTTTCTGACGTTAGACTCACTCTTGGACGTGTTCAATACTCAGTATGGCTCCAATGTGATCAAAGATGCTCCAATTTGGATCTTCATAGTCGTAATCGTCCAAAGTTTGATTGTAAAATCGAATCAAGCCAGAAGGAGCCGTGAAGAACACCAAGTGAATCAGATTACTGCAAAATAAAATATAGGATACACACAAATAATTTCTTAGAAAATTGCGATCATCAATAAAACTAGAGATAATATTCAAGACGAACTCTTTCAGAAATTGCCATTGAAGGTCCCAACTATCCTGCAGCGCACTGGTAGCTTCAAGATCGAGGAGGAGCCTGTTGACCAGGTGCTCACGAGGGACGCATAACGCTGGCAATTTGCCTAAACCAAAACGAAATTTGTAGCAGAGCATCGTGAGCATAGGGAATCTTACCGCTCTGTCTCATCTGGTTCGCGTATATAACAAATGCTTCTTCTTTTGTGACGTTGGTATCGGTGTCATTGAGAAGGCAGTAGCGCCTGAAGTGAATCATATGCACTTAAACTCTTGAAAGGGTTAAAGATACCAGATCGCACTCCCTCAAGTGACAGATATCAGGCTAGAAACGTAACCCAAGGCAATCGGTACTAATAGGTTGATGCATAATTATTGCGGTTTTTTTCAGCAAATTTTATTCAAATATCGATTGAAATATTTACAAAAACATGGTCAAATAATTACTCCGGAACACATCCACCATCAAAGTCAAGCACTGCTTCCTATTTGCTAGGCAGTGGGTTCACTAAGGCGAAGAAGTTTTGGTTCTTGGAGGAGGTCCACGCCTTGACATCGGCCAACAAGTCATCCAATGCGTCGTAAGCTCTGTTGATTAACCAATTTTTCTTCGAACGGTTGATGTGATAATCCGAAGAAGTTTCTGTTGGTGAATATGACGGATTCAGGAGCAGATCCAATCTCTTACTTGACTTTGGCTGATTGTTCCATCCCGAAAAGTTCGCTGAGATCGCGAAATGACTCTGCCACCTTCCAACTTTTTCGGGGAAGTAGAGCATAATGTGCGAATATGAATATGACCTTTTGATGCGTTCTGTTGAAGAAAGCGAGAGGATTATCACTATAAAAATTACGAGTTCAATATTCGGATTCTATGGAGAGAAAAGAAGCCGCAAAAAATCCGCAATAATTATGCATCAACCTGATAATATAAGGTTAACACAAAGCATAGCTGGAAAAATCATATGCTCATTTCACGGTAAAAATATTCGATAAAAGTTTCTGATATTGCTTTCTAAGATGAATATATGTCCCTCAAGGATAGCCCAGGATAGACCAAAGGATGCTGTCGGGTCGAAGAGCAGTCAAGATTGGGTGTAGTAAGGGCCCGCAGAACGCACGCACCCAAGGCGGACGAGTTGCTAAGCGTTGTGAAAGCTGTAGAGGTTGCATCATTCGCACCGGGACCGACACATTGCACCGGGGCACCGTATTGCAGCTAGCTGTATGCAAAGGTGCGCGCGTTCCAACAGAACGTCCCAATACCCCTTCCATGCAGCTTTTTTCGTAACATTCTCTCCAACCCCCGATTTTTCTTTTTTTAAGGCCCCATTTTTCGCTTAAGACATAAATTTATCGCGTTCTCTTCGCCACTCTTGCCCTATTCTGGATCGAAAAGTTTTGAGAAGACTCAGCCGATTTTTTCAACACAAAGTAACTACAACAATAAATTCAGATCAGTAATCAAATAGTGACCCTTCCCAGCCACGATGTCTCTCCGCCAACCTGACAGTGCATTGATGCCTTTCCTGCAAAATTAAGGGAGACGTGACGCAAATCACTCGTCTACCACCTACTTGGCTTCCCGACAGTTGTTGAAATGCTTCCCTTCAAAGCAGGCCTGAGGGCCTTTGGAAGTATGGCAGTCATATGGGTTGAGTTTAGGTGAATATGCAAGCAGCGGGGTAATCAATTTGTATCAAATCTTTCCAGCTCATCCATCGACGTCCTCGTGTAGGGAGGCCTAGCATTGTCCACCACAATCGGATATTTCCTTGTAATCGGTGGTAAATGAGGGCTCGAAACACCATCTCTCTCAGTTTTTAACAGAATACTCTTACGTACATCGCAGTACACTCTGGTAGGATTTCATAGATAAAAACTCGGTTGAGCGAAGAAAGAATAAGCTCATGCCTTTCTTGGCGTGAACACCTCGGTTCATAGCTGACTGTGGCCTTACGCCCCTGGTAGGCATTGCGATTTCCGGTGTGGATTTTCGTAAGACACCTACTTCTAATCCTAAGCAGTAAAGAAGTCGGTTGATATCGCCGTTTGCTTACAGTCGAGCAGCTTCTAACACACACCGACACGCATTGGAAGCTCCTTTTCAGTCAAGGAGTGCGCAGCTTTTGCGGAGAGTCCTGCTTTGAAAGTGACTTTTGCGTAGAACGTCGTGGATGATGGATTAGAATAAGGAGTCGTCTTTTCCATCTCCTGAGACTTGAGGGAGGATTATTCTAACGGAAGTTCAGAACAGTGTCAGTATTTGAGGACAGTGAACGTTCGTTTAGACTAATTTCGTCGAAGCAAATCTCTTCTCAGGGGGAACGATCATGCTATTCATGGTATGTGAAAAGAGGGGGGGGGGGGGGGAGACCGTGCTGCCAATCAGTCACCATATCTCATCCAGTCGTATCGATGGCACCTCGTTTGGTCGACGATTACTTACTCCGAACGTCCTCTTAAAATTAAGATCAGCTGTGGTATTTGCCTATAAACAATGCCCCTTTCCTGGTTATTGAATCTGCAGTCCTTCTTAAAAGCCTTCGCAAGCAACATGCTTTCAAAGTCGAGAGGCAAAATTTTCTCAAAACTTTCCGGACACCCTAATATTTATGACTTGTGGAGTTGAGAACTTGTCAAGATCTATGAAAGCTATCCATCATTGAGCCGCAATGAAATGACCACGCTAAAATTAAGTAGTAGCAGAAGTTAGTGCAAAAGTCTCATTAAGAACTAGAGATCTGCCCTGTAGGCCCCATAGTGCGAGTACCGCCACATCACTTTAGTCAGCGCAAACCAAAATCATTCTGGCTGCCCACCAATTGCAAGATAAAGCACTCACCATGAAAAGGGAAACTGAAACGTACCAATGTGGATGAACTCTCCATCGTTTGTCATTCATCCAACTTATTTGCACATGGCTGTAGTCGTATGAACGGCTCTTCGGACGCCATCTGTAGTCATCACCTTTCGCCATTGCTAGTCCCAGCCTGAACAGAAGAAGGATATTCGACTCAACAGTCCGACAGCAGATTGAGTTCGGAGCAGAACCCTTCAAATGTACGTACACAAAATTGGCCCCTTTAATGCATTCTGAATAATAGACGTTCGTCTGCGGGTAGACACGATCCAGTGCTTCCGTGGCGTAGAGTACGTCTAGCAACTGGGGATCACTGTTGTCACAGTTCATGACCATCGATCGAACCTGAACTGGTGTTATACCAAGAGAATCTTGCTTATAGTACATAATGGTGCGTAACCAGATGGACGGTACGAAGCCTAAAAACAAGTTTTAGTTCTCAGAAATCGAGCTTTCTTCAAATGCATCCCGATGGAGTCTAGTAAGCGTCTTGGGGCAAATTATTAAGCTCTTCGTACCGCCCACCATGTCCACACAACCGATACGCCACGTTATGAAGCTCGAGCAAAATATAGGAGAGTCTGGAACTTGAAACTCTGACAGGAGCTTCATACACATGCAGGAGGTCCGACATGCATTACAGCGTTACTGCGGAAAGCACAACGCATCTGGTTAGACGAGAGTACTGTAACAGAAATTCAACAATGTATGCAGGAAGGCCCATAAAAAGGCACCCCCCAACGGAATGCAAAAGATCGGACATCACATACACCTCGATAGTTGGCACGCCACCACGTCACCATGTATCTGGGCATGAGAGTGGGTAACTTGTACGCACATAATGATCAAAGCGGCCCTCCCAGATTAATTTTCACTTGTTTTTCTCTTTTCTATCCAAGTCTTGGAATTTCAGTAGACATAGCACATCCGGAAAACCGGTTTATGCCACGGGTTTTCGGGGAAATGAGCTTCACGAAAGATGACCATGCATAACAGTTTGTTCCGATGGCTCCGTTGAGAGAAAGCGACATGTCATGGAAGGCATAGGAACAAAGTGCCTGGCGGTCACGAAGCGCATTATAGACTGTCATGTATCATACAAAATTTCGGATCTGTTCGACGCATTCGGCAAACGTCGTGCCTTGGTCACAGTAGAGCTCCGACACGTCCTCCTTGTCTTGAGACAGCCGAATCTGAGCATTGTCTCGTCTCATACTCATTGAATCATCAAAACATCTCAAAAAGGAATTATGTAAATTGGCAAGATAGAAACATGAATTAAGTAACACTGCCTGCTCTTGAGCAAGCTGTTGACAGTAGGAAAAGTTAGGAGTGGTAAGAAAACGAAGGGAAGGTGAAATCGNGATCGAAGGTACAGAAAGAGAAGGTCATCACTGTCAAAGAAATCAACCTGCTGTGACTGCGGCACTTCGAGTTCCAGTAGATCCATATTGTTGTAATTTTGTTTGTGTGATTTGGTTGCAGGATCCTGAAATTCCCTTCATTCTATGCAAATATACATATATACAACACATATACATATACAACACAATAAACAAAAAATCGATCCACATACGAAGAAAGAAATTCCCTCCAAAGATGGCAATCCTGCTATGTATAGCACTAGGTGTATCTGTATGTCGCGCCAGATGGTTCTGTTGATTGTCTCTGTGTGTGTGCGTGTATGTATGTGTATGTATGTGTGTAAGCGTATGTGTGTATATGTTTGTGTTTGACCGGGATTTCATAGCTCCTATTCCTGTAGACATTCATAGCTCCTGTTTCTGTAGACATGACTGAACCCTAATAACTCACTCACCAATAATCCCTACAATGCGTTCATCTAGTCTTTACGATGTGGGTATTCCCACGAC